TTTCGTAAGTCAATACATTTTCTGTAATTAGACCAAAACTCTTGATGATCTGTACACGCAAAAATAACTTGGAATAAACTGATAATCAGTATTGTACAGATAAAAGCAGGTATAGTATAAATTCAATTAAGAAACCTTTCAATTTGGGACATTTTTTTGATTGGTTACCCCCAAAGACGCAAGGCATTATGGGGATGTGAAAGTCGAGAATGAGGGAAAATTAAGTACGGTTTGGGGGATGGAGGGGTGGGGGATAGGGGGGTTATTTAGTAACAAATCAAACTGTTATGGAGGTTTAAACCTTTTATTTTGACGAATTAAATTAAACCTGTTTTTAATTTCTTGTTGACTTAATAGGAGGGTCACGAACTTCAGTACTCAAACCACATAAACTGAACCATCGTTAACTCGTAAAAACGGATGACGTCACAGATTCACAGATCACTAACAAGGGCTGGCTTAGACTCGTCCACAGTCTCTCGCTCGTCCGTTCCGTCTCCACGCTTAGAGACTGTAACGGTACAATGACCGAAAGGACTTATGGGTCCCGAAAACTTGGACCCAGCGTGCTTTGTGAACAAAAATACTCGTCCACAGTCTCTCTCGTTTTCGCCGCCATCTTGAAAATATTGAAACGAGAGAGACTGTGGACGAGTATTTTGGTTCCCAAAGCACGCTGGGTCCAAGTTTTCGGGACCCATAAGTCCTTTCGGTCATTGTACCGTTACAGTCTCTAAGCGTGGAGACGGAACGGACGAGCGAGAGACTGTGGAAGAGTCTAGGGCTGGCTGAATGCCTGGAGAGAGGGACTGGGTATTGGGACGTGTTTGCATTGCGTGACATAAGTTGACTATTTTTAGAGGGCATCTAGCCTAGACTACACTCGTTGTCAATAAGTCTTATTTAATGTGTTCAGCTTGTGAACCGTATAATTAAGATTGCAAAATGCATGGTATTTTTGCTGGTATCGTAGTCGCTTTCTTTGGTCTTTACTCGACTTGCTCAGGTAGAGATGATAGTCTTGTTGTAGACACAGCAGCTGGTTCAGTTCGTGGTCGCTTACAGAATTTAATCCACGGGTTATCTGTGAAGCAGTTTGTTGGTATACCGTATGCAGAACCTCCAGTCGGTGAGCTAAGATTTGCTCGACCACTACCTGTTAAACCTTGGAATGGAGTGAAAGGGGCAGTGAATTTCGGACCAGCATGTCCACAGATAAAATTGAAGGAAATGTTCGAACTACTTAAATCAAATTTCTCGGTTGAAGATGGTAAGTCATTAAATAGCATTAATCAATAGCTTTACATGGAAGCTTGATCAAGCGAAGACGTTGTGCATTATTGCATAACATTTTATCGTTTCAGATTTTCGTGGTTGATATTATCATTTTAGAAATAGTACTAAATGTGATACGGCAAGGCAAATATCAAGGTATACTACAGCCACAGTGAAGCCAGAACCATTAATCCTAAATATAATAATGAAAATTACTATGCCTTATTACTGTAATACGAGTAAAAATATATGTATCAGGATTAAGGCAGTAAACTTTTTTGCAATTGTGTCAGCTTTTAAATAACAAATTCTTTTTATAGCACATTGGGATAACTTTAGGATTCAGTTAGGGTTTTTGCGAAACTCTTACCAAAATATTACCTTAAGTACCTTAAATCATCAGCATAAATTAAAGAGAATCTACCAAGCGTTATCCCCAAAAAAGTTTTCTCCAAACTGGCAATTCTGACACTTTATATATAGCGGTAAAATCTGTTCTATTATTTGCAATAGAAAAGACAAAAGTTTGATTCCTTGGTTTTTTTTCTGCTGTTATCAATCTGCAGTTCGAAGAGGTCGTCATCCATCACGCCTTGATTATAATTCCATTATCCTTTGTCATTATGCTTATCGCTCAGCTCCCTTGACTCACTATCTCTCTCTATGTATATAGATCCATCTCTCTGTCTTACTTTGTCTGTCTGTGCAGTCTGTCTTTTTCTCTGTACATCTATTCCTCTGAACTTTTTTAAAGAAAATCCTGGCCCAAGTCACAAATAGCTGTCTACCGATCGATGTGTTTGTAATTTTGTCACGCTTTAATACATCGTTTGCATGCATTTACTTGCGCATTTAAAAATAAACGCAGACCATACGAATTAAAATTCAAGTTCCATAGTTAGATTCCCAGTGACCTCAAACACTCCTCCGCCAGGATTTGGGTAGGGGTTTTCCTGTTTATGACGAAAACCTCAAATTTGTAGACCCTGTTTATGACAAAAGATATAATTAA